CTCTGTGTTGTTTCTAATTTGCCATTTCTGGCTCCTTTAGGGCATTAGAGATTTGGAAACCTCAGTTCTTTTCCTTTTCCTTTCTTTCCTTCCTTCCCTGCAGCTTGACACCTCTGTGTGTCAGGTCATTTTCGAGGCTCTGGGACAATCTGGGTGAATCAAACATGATCCCTGTTCTCAGGCAACTCCTAGTGTAGACACCTGAACAGATAGTCATGACCCGAAATAAGCAATGATGTGTGTCTCAGATCCGATCAGGCTGGGGTGGGGGTTCCAGGAAGAATTTGTTTGAAATCAGCCAGTTGAGTTAGTCTGGAAGAGTGGGCTGGCAGTGGGGCGACCAGCTCTGTCCTAGTTTTGCATTGTAAGTCCTGTGTTCTGGAAACTGCCTCAGGCAAAGCAGAACAGCTGCTTCCCCTGGTGCCATGCTGGTGAAGAACAGGAACAGGGAATGACTTTCTATGTGAATGTCATTATTTGCATGAGACATGAGTTGCTCAGGAGCTAGTGCTGGAATGGCTGATGAACCAGGCCACTCATGGTGGAAAGCAAACAAATGGTCATGTGACTCAGTTATAGCCAATGGGATGTTAACTTAGGGCAACTTTGGGGAAAGGTCCTTACCTGGCAGAGGATGCCCTTCTTTGCTGCTTCCTCCACTGTCCAACTGCAGGAATGCATATGTGATGGATGGAGCTTGAACTGCTTTCTTGGTCCACGAGGCAGAAGAAAGGTATTGGGGATGCCCCAGTAGCAAAACGGAGTGAACTGAGGATTCTGATGTCATCATAGGGCCCCTCCACCAGCCTTCAACAGCCTTCCTCTGACGACTTTTTAAAAATTTGTTTGTTATTTTATTTGTCTGTGTCTGGTCTTACTTGTGGCACATGGGCTCAGCAGTTGCAGCACATGGGCTTAGTTGCTCCATGGCATGTGGAATCATTAGTTCCCTGACCATGTCCCCCACATTGATCGGGAGACCCTTAACCACTGGACCACCTGAGAAGTCCCTGGACGGCTTTTATGTGAAAGAGAAATAAACTTGCTCTCTTCCTTTATGGTCCTGTTACGCTCTTCAGTTCTCTTTTGACAGACACAGCTGGACTCAGTGCAAACTGGGACATTGTTGCAGAGTGGAAGGGGTGGTGGCCGCAAGGGGGTCTGGGCTGGCATAAATCAGGGTGATGATGGGGTCCCGGGCTGGACCTGGGCTGCAATGTGGAGTCAGCAGAGAGTCCCTGGGGAGAAGATGGTGCAGAAGTCCAAAGGCTGCTACGGGGCCCTGAAGTTATCTGGGAGCTGGAGCACAGAGGAAGGGGGAGGGGGCATTTGGTAGCGGCCACGGCAGAGGTGGGCACAAGGTCTGGCATCCCCAGAAGAGGCAGCCCTGTGACGGGTGGAAGCGTCATGGTCAGAAAGGACACAGGAGCCGAAGGGCCCAAGCACACGTGCCCCACGGCTCCTGTGAAAGTGGGGTCCCTGGGCAAAAGCCGACTCTGTCCATGAGAGCCAAGGGTGCAGGGAGGTCGGTTCACAGTGGGACCCTGAGGACGCAGTGTGGAAGGCGCGGGACAGGGTTTAAGGGGCTTTGAATATTGGGTACTGGGACAGAAGGGGGATGGCTGGAGGAGGCTGGGTACAACCCCCAAACGCCTGAGATCAAGGTCTGGGCAGGCCTGAGAGGGCTCTGTCAGGCCCCTGCCATTGGAAAAGTTTCTGGATTCCTCTTCAGGTCATCTCAGAGAGAATCTGATGTCCTCTGTCAGACTCTGGTTCTAATCCCAGTCCTGCCGCATTCTGGTTGGGTGACCAGTGAGCCTCAATTTCCTTGCCTGTAAAATGGGAAGCAAGGCATTAGCTCTGCAGGGAACATGAAACCAGCTAGGTGGGCACCAGTGTGTACACAAGGGGTGGGGGTAGAGGTGGGGCGCTTGGCATGCTTGCTGATGGCAACCATGCCTGAGCATGGACGAAGCTGGGTCCACAGTTTCTGCCTTCACCTGCAGATGGATTTTATCATTCTCTTTTTTAACCTGAAGTGTGGCTCAGACAGTGAAGAATTTGCCTGCAATGCAGGAGATCATAGTTTGATCCCTGTGTTGGGAAAATCCACTGGAGAAGGGAGTGGCAACCTACTCCAGTATTCTTGTCTGGAGAATTCCATGGACAGAGGAGCCTGGCGGGCTACAGTCCATGGAGTTGGAACGAGTCGGGCATGCCTGAGAGACGAACACTTTCACTTTTCACTTTCATAGTTAATTTGCAATGTTGTTAATTTCTGCTGTATAGCAAAGTGACTCAGTTATATACCCATATGCATTCTTTTTTATATTCTTTTCCATTATGGTCTATTCCAGGGGATTGGATACAGTTCCCTGTGCAATATAGTAGGACCTCGTTGTTTATCCATTTTGTATGTAAGAGTTTGCAAGTTCTACTAACCCCAAACTCCCAATCCATGCCTCCTGTTCCCACCTCCCCCTTGGCAACCTTGCGTCTATTCTCTATGTCTAGGAGTCTGTTTCTGCTTCATAGATAGGTTCATTTGTGCCATATTTTAGAGTCCATATGGTATTTGTCTTCCTTAGATTTTTCTTTATATGCATTTTTTTTCTTTATATGCATTTTTAAAAGCTTTAAACTGAGTTCATGAGTTTGGGGACAGGAAATACATGCATGTGGTATAAAAGGGTCTACAGCAAAAAGCGGCCTTTCTCTCCCTTCCTGAGCCAGCCTTCCCCCTGGGAGAATCAGCATCCTTCGCTGAGAAGCTTCCAGAACTACTCTAGCCTTAATAAATCTCAGCTGTTATCTTCATCTTTGTGGTGCTCGAGTTTGTCACTCTCTCCTGCAGCCAGAAGACTTGCTCTAGGGGAGAGGGGAGATGGGCTTATTGAGGGCCCACTCCATGGGGTCACCAGGTGAGAGACTCACGCCCTCCTGCCATTCGGTCCTCCTGACATCCCCACAGGAACAGCCACCCCTCATTCTACAGCCGGGGACAGGGAAACACAGGTGAGCGGGCCACTCAGCTTCCAGGAGCCTCGAATCCGGTCTTGTTCTTCTCAGCCACACAGGCTCCTGCCTCCTGCTCAGAAGGGAGTTGGCCTGATTGTCTAAGGGGTCTTCCACTCTGTTTTCTCACTTCTCTGCTGACAGAAACTTCTGCAGAGCCGCTCTTTTTACTCCCCGTCCTGCTCACCCCATTCCCTGTGGTGAAAGAGATGGCAGCTCACAGGAAAACCTTCCCTGAGGCAGAGAGTTTAGAATCAAGAGGCAGCAGACGTGCTTCTTCTGACGCTGGATGGAACGTCACGGGGTCCCTAGGCCTGTGACACTGGATATAGGTGGATATGCACCTTCCCAAAGAGGGGGTTTGTAACTGCTTGGTATTTAAAAAAAGGAAAAGCCTGGAACTGATTCTCTCTGCCAAAGAAAGGAGGAGAAAGGGGATTATAAACCGTGACTTGAGAGGCAGAGGAAGGTTCTAGAATGTTCAATAAGTGGCCAGTTTGTTTGCAATTGTTTGCGAAGGCCCCCCAAATAGTCACCCCTGAATGCTAAACTGAGTCAGGGACTTCTTGGAAGGCCGGGTGAGAAAGGATGTCTGAGGGAGTTGAGGTGTCTCATTCCATGGCTGGGGTGCACCTAAAGGGACAGGTTTGAGTGAGGCCTGGGTGTTAGTGGACATGTGTGTGACTGGATGAAGGTGTCAAAGGCTTGAGGTGGCCTGTGAGATGGGGTGGGGGTGGCATGAGAGGGAGAAGAAGGGGCCTTGTCCCCATGGGCTCTTGGGTGCAGCGCAGCACCTATTTAAGAGTGAGAGACGGCATGTATGCGACGGCGTACACGCGCGCCTGCTGCCGCAACACCCACAGTGCCCCCCCGACCCCCCCATACCCCGGTCGCCCCCAGCGGAGGAGGGAGATCTTTATCTGGCCCCTGGTGCTGCAGGAGTTTCAGGCTTTCTAACCAGTCAGATCTCCCCCGCCTTCCCACCCCCAGACCTTACCCCCTCCATCCTCTGCACAGGAAGTGGGCTGGCCCTGGGGTTTTAGTCTCTGCCTGCTTGGCCCCGGCAGCCTTCTACTACCTGGGCCGAGGGAGCCGGAGCCCGGCCCTGGGGAGATGGCTGCGGTCCCAGCAGCGGAGAGAAGCAGAGAGAGCGCGTCGCAGCTCCATGTCCCAGCCAGGTAAAACCCACCCTGCCCTGGCCCAGCTCGGCCTGATCCCCAGGCAGCCGAAGCCTCCCTCCTGGCCCCTGCCACCAGCCAGGGGGCTGGAGGTGAAGGACACGGGGATTTCTTTCAACTCTGACTCAGACCCGACAAAAGTTTCTGCCTGATCTGCCATCTCTCAGCCCTTGCCCCCAAGCTTAACTTAGAGCCCCCCAGGGATGGGGCAGGCCCTGTTCCCATGGCTCTGGCTTCAGGTTCTAGTCTTTCCCTCCCTCCCAGCTCTCACTGTGGGAGGCTGGGAGATACTCTAGGATGAGGGGCTTTCCCAGGCCCTGTGCTGGGCCCCCCAACCGAGAAGAGTGGAGAAGGAGGTTCGAGACCTGGGAAGGGGAAGGCTGGCTGAGACTCAGATGTGCTGGGTGCCAGACAGGGTGTGGGGTGTGGGTGGGAGAGATGTGGCCTGTACTGGGGAGGTGCCCCTGGGTAAAGGGCACCTCAGAAGGCTGTGGGGTGAGGGAAAAGGAGAGGGACCCCTCTGAGACCTGGCTATGAAGTGGGTGTTCTGGGAGGTTTCTGGGAGCCCTGGGCTGGAGGCCGGACTCCTGAGCTTGAGTTCATCTCTGTTGTCCCTTACTTGTATGTGAGACCCAGCAGGTCAGGAGGGTCTCCAGGTGTCCCCAAAGTCAGGGTCTCCCTCCACTCCTGGGGGCCGAGGCCTCCCACCCTGAACTGTGTTTGGAGCACCTAAGGGGTGGAGCCACCCCCTAGGGTTCCCTTTCTTCCCCTAAAGCCAGCATCCCACACGCAGCTGGGGAGATGCTCCCAGACTTAACAGCAACAGGGAGTCCTAGAGTGGGAGATGAGGGGTTGGCTGGAGAGGCCGAGGGGAGATGGAGCCCATCAAGGTCAGAGGAAAGGTGGGATGTGACTCAGACTACCAAGCCCCTGCTTCAAACCCTCCCCCAGCCCCTGGGTACCCCACATCCCATGATATTAGCCCTGGCAGAGCCTCAGGCTATACTGACTGGGTTCAAATCCCAACTCCAGCCCAAGAGGCTTACAAAGGACTTAATTTCCTCATCTGAAAAAAGGAGTCATAACAATACCTACTCATAGGGTTTCTGTGAGCTTTGAATGAGGTAGTATCTGAAAGTGCTAAAGACAGTGCTGGGCAGAGGGCGGGCTGAGCGTTAGTCATCATGACCACTGTCATCACGACCACCGTCACCATCACCATCACCATCAACTCCATCATCATCACCATCGCCATCGTCATCATCCTCTTCTAACTAGACATCAGATAACCTGCATTAGAGGCCAGTTCCTTGGGCAGCTCTGACAGTCTTGACACCTATCAAATGGGGATAACAACACACATTCCCAGGGCAAGGTGGGGACCCAATGAGGCCGTGAGTGTGCTCGGCTGTGCAGTCATGAAGGGCAGGGCACAGATACGTGGACGTGTGTGAGATTTCAGGATGGAGCCAGCTGGGGACTCAGAGATCCCACTTGCCCTCCCTGAGGCTGGGCCTCATCATTCCTCTGCCATCTTGAGCAGGTTTCTTAACTGGCCCGAGACTGTCTCCTCCTCTGCAGGAGCGGGCAGCCTCAGAGACAGTTGGGAGCCCTCCTCACCCCATCCTCCTTGCTCTTTGCCCTCTCGGGGTTCTGCCGCACGCTTTTGGCTATGGGTGGCGGGAACTCATTCTAGATGATGCTTCTTCTCCTGCCCAACTCACTTAGGCTGGGGCTGTGGTTTGGCCCTGACCTTCCTGTGATCTTGCACAGCTTTGCCTCTACGCCTCTCCTCTCACACGGAGACTCTGTGCCAGATCCTGTCCTGGGCCTAGGGTGACCCTGCAGGTGGGGGTCTGGCACCAGGCAACTCCCTCCGGGGGGCCCCCAGGGCCATGATCCACAAAGAGAGGGCACCAGGGGCTTGCTGGAGCTGCTTTCCTGGGCTCCCCAGCCTCTGGGATCCCAGCCCTGGGCTCCGCGCTATCGTAGGTTGGAGGATCCAAAGAGGCAAACGGCCCCATCCTGGGAGCGTGGCCCTGGGGAGACAGTAGGCTAGTCAAGGAGGTGCCCCCAGGTACCTCTTTGGGGCTTTCTACACAACCAGGTCAGGTGCTTGCTGCCCCTGCCAGGGTCTGACTCCCCAGGGAGGGGAAGCTGTGGGCCCTATCTCTGGGACAGAATCTGGGTGGGGCAGAATGATGGGAGGGAATGGGCCTCAGGGTGCAGTCCTGGGGTGGAAATCCAGCTCTGCTTCTTCTGCGATGCGATCTTGGGTGAGCTCATGGCTTAGAACCTTGGTCTCCTCATCTGAGTAAGGAGACAGTATATGCTTCCAGCCCCTGCTGCTGGCAGATTAGATGAGCTGGTGCAGCAAAACCCTGGCAGTGTGAGGGCTTCGTCCCCATCCCCCACCCCACTCGCCTCCTCTAGAATTGCTATGAGGTATCCTTACGAGGTGATCAGCACAGTTTACTGGGCTCCAGGCAGTGTTTCTTGGCTCTGACTCCACAGCTGCCTCTTAGGAGCTGTGTGACCTTAGGTAATTTGCTTCACCTCTCTGCACCTCAGTTTCTCATCTGAAAATGGGAATAATGAGTGTATCTCCAGTAGATACCCTGATTGCCATGGTTAAAGATTTAAAATAGAGCCTGGCATAGAGGAACCTCTTGACAAATAGTTTTGGTGTGGTTAAGGGGGCAACTGGGTAGAGAGGAGGTGGGTTCTAATTCCAGCTCTGTGCTGGCCTCTCTACGTGGATGTAAATAGGTCTTTCCTCTCTCTGGGCCTTATTTTCCCCAAATTTTGAACAAGGTTGGACATGCTAGAGAGTCCTTTCAGCAATGACAACATGGGTCCCTGAATCTTGAAAGGAAAGGAAAGAGCATGTGTGGGGCAGTGGGAACCGCAGGTGCAAAATCCCTGAGGCTGGCATGGCGGGGAGCCGATGGGTGCACCTCAGGAGGACAGAGCCCAGCCTGTCTCTTGGGTGGGGGAGGAGGTGGCTGGGTGCTCACTCACACTCTCTCCCCTTCTTCCTCCATCCAGGGCTCCCTTCCCCAGCCCCCACCCGTGGATGTGATGGCGGCTCCGGCTCTGCCCTGCTGCCTGTCCCTCCTCATCCTCCTCTTGCCCCTGGCCATCCCTCAGGCATCTACATCAGTGAACGGTGAGGACCCTGGCATCTGGGCTTTCCTCAGGAGGGAGGCCAAGGCCCTTCTAGAACTTGTTCTGAGACCCCTGATTCTTGGCAGAAGCTCCATCAGCAGGGGCAGGAGGTGGGGGAGGGGGCCAGTGGGACCAGAGATCAGGTATCTACCTTCTCCCTCCACCATCCTGTCTACACTGTACCCACAGGCCTCTCCAAATCCCAGGAAGACAATGTCTTCTTGTCCTTGCACTGCCTCGACCAGTCTGGGAATCTTTGCAGGCTGTGGGATTTAGTTTTTTCCTCTCTGAAGTGGACCCACTAACCCTTTCTCTGCCCACCAGGACTGAGCATCTCCTCACCTGATGGGGACAGGAGTGGCGGGCAAACCCTTGAAGGCCATGGGTGCCCTACAGCCAGCCCCACAAGCCACATTTTCACGGCATTTGCTTCCAACATCACATGCTTCTACAACTCAAGAGCCAACGTCTCCTGCATCTGGAGCCATGATGAGGGCCTGCAGGCCACCACCTGCTGCTTGCACAGCCATCAGCCTAAGAGGTGCGTGTGGGGTTGAAGGCCAAATGTACAAAACCTCAGGGCATGGAGATATTATCATCCTGAACTTTAAACTCTTGAAATCCTACTAGCAGCTCTCAGACTTCAAGAACTCTGCACTTTGAGAATTTCGGAGGACCGAATAGGGTTCCCCAAAGTTTTTGAGTAATCTGGGATTTTGTGAGATGCCTAGGACAGCTGTGGGGACAGGGGACTGGGGATACCCATCAGCTGAGAAGGAACTGGTGAAGGGGCACTGATCCAAACATCCTGCTGGTAGCAGCCAGCAGGGCGGCTCTGACCTTGGCTCCCAGGTGGGTGGTGATTCTAAGGATCTCTGGAGGGCCCACCAAGGATTGTCCACATCTTTAGCCCTATGGGGAGAATTTGGAGGGCTTTAGGTGGGAAGGGCCATGTGCCCTGAACTGATTTGTTTCTGACTGGGAGGGAGAGATGCTCACAAAGGGATGCAGGGCAGGTGGGGTTGGTATAAAGCCTGGGCTCAGATCAGTAATGCTGCATGGGGACCCTCCTGAGGCCTGCTCTGAGGGGGTCCCTCTTTTTCTTCAAAGAGAGGAGCTTTTTCCTACAAAACAGTGGAAACACACCTGTGAGCTGCAACCAGTGAAGCCGGGATCCTGGGCATGCAATCTGGTTCTAGGACAATCTCCAGAAGTGAGTAGCCAGAGCTGAAGGGGCGGCCAGAGGGGCTGGTGGGTGCAGAGGAGCATCTTTCTGGTGGAGGCGCCAGCACACCCAGTGGTCAGGGGCTGCGGCAGAGTGGGCTTCCTGGGCTGGGGAGGCAGGAGGAAGAAGGCAGCATCCACGAGAGCAGATGACTGACCCACGGGTGGAGGGATCCGAGGTTATTGAGATGTCGGCTGCTCAGCTCTGCTCCTGCCTATCTGCTTTTATAAATTAAGTTTTATTGGCACACAGCCACACACATTTGCTCTCTTGTTTTTTTATGGCTGCTTTTGCAGGACAGCCACAATGGCAATGTTGAATAGTTGTGATAGAGATCATATGACCTGCAGCATCAAAAATATTAACTATCTGACCCTTTTCATAAAGTTTGCTGAGCCGTGCCTTAGATGGAGGATGTCAGGGAGGAGGTCCAGCTTATTACAGCCATGGTTTCCCCTGCCATCCACATCTCAGCAGCCTCTCCATCCTCACACCAGCTACTGGAAGTTTTATCCCCAGTCTCCTTCCCTTTCTGGCTCAGAAACTGACCGTAGTGGATGTTATGAAACTGACGGTGATGTGCTCTGAAGGCGGGAAGTGGAGGAAGATGAAGACCCAGGATATCAAGCCCTTTGATTACAGTGAGTGAGGACTCCAAGGTGGAGCTGGCGTTGGGTGGGAAGGGTGGGCACTTCCCTCCCTGTCTTCCCCTCTGGGATCACCCAGTACTAGTCTCTACCTATCAGCTTTCACACCCCTATCAGCTTCATACTCACTACTCCCTGAACTTGGGATGAAGTCCTGGACAGTTACCCTGGTGTTCAAAGTCATTTGGCCTGGCTTCCTTCTCCAGCATGCCTCTTCTTGTGGCTTATATTCCTGCCACACCAAGGGCCAGCTCTCCAGGCTCAGCTTGACCTTCCATGCCTCTAAACACTTGCACACCAAGCAGCCTCAGCCTGCTTGAAAGGCTCTTCTCACCCCAAAAATTGCCACTCACCCATCAAGTTCAGTGAGGAGTCACCTCCTTCAGGAGGCCTTCCCAGACTCCTGGAGCCTTTGGTACCTCCTCTTTCAGGGTGTTTATGTCCTGGGTCTTTGCTGCCTGATAATGGGTCTGTCTCCCTCATTGGGCTGTGAGTTTCCCTGAGGGCAGAGCGTCTGCCATCCTTACATCTCTGTTCCGAATACTCAGCATCAGGGCTGATCTGGGTGCTGCTAGGGGAAAGTTTGTTGAATGACTGAATGTCCTCCATCACCTCCAGCCTATCCCCCTCCCTCTCCAGTTTGGAGGTCATCTTCAGGGAAGAGATGGGAGCATAGAGTGAGATCCAGGGTTCTAAATGCAATCCTGCATTAACTGAGTGCACTCTGGCTGGCAGGTCATTTAACATGTCTGAGCCTCAGTTTCCTCATCTGTAAAGTGGGGATAACCAGTTACCTGCTGCCTGTGGTTGCTGTAGGGCTTCTGTGATGGTGCAGTGATAAAGAACCCACCTGCAATACAGCAGATGCAGGTTCAACCCCCGGGTCAGGAAAATCCCAAAGAAGGAAACGGCAGCCTACTTCAGTTTTCTTGCCTGGGACACTCCACTGACAGAGGAGCCTGGTGGGCTACAGTCTATGGGGTCAGACACAACTTAGTGACTAAACAACACCAAAACCATGGTTGCTATATGGGTCTATAAGGTAAGATACAGAAATTGTTTAGCACTTGCTCAATAAACATTTGCTAATTATTATTTGTGGAGTTCTACAGAGTCTCAGAAGTATAAAAATTAAGATCAATTGAACTTCAGAATCATACAATCTTATAATCGTATAAGAGTGATGAAGTAGAATTAAATTCAATAAATGAGATGATCCAGGTAAATCTCTTTGATCAAATCTAAATGCAGAGAAAGGCTGCCTCGATTCATTCATTCCACAGATATCTAATGAAGTGCCCACTACATGCTGGGTAATGGTCCAAGCACCAAGGATACTTGAGAAAATCAAGTTCTTGCCCTCAGAGACCTCAGTCTGGTGGGGCAGACAGAAAACAAAGAATCAGAAGTAGATATTTAATATGTCAGATGATGATAAGTACTAGGTAGAAAAATGAAACAAGTGAGGGGGACAGAAAGTGGTGGGTATTTGGAGCAGGCTTCTCTGAATGGGTGATATTTGAGCAGGAACCTGCCGATCCCTGGGAGAAGAGAACATCGGGAGGGAGGGACAGCAGGTACAAAGGTGGAGGTGGGAGCTCGGCTCGGCTTTCTCATCTCAGCGTCAGCATGTGGCATCCCTCAAGCTTGTTCTCTCTGCCTTTGTCTCTTTCCTGTCTCCAGTTCGTCTTGTTCCACCCCATTCACTCCAAGTCGCCCACGTAGAGACGCATAGGTGCAACATAACCTGGACCATCTCCCAGGTATCCCACTACATCCAAAATGACGTGGAGTTTGAGGCCCGGTTAAGGTACGCCGACCACAGCTGGGAGGTGAGTACCTGGCTCCGTCCCATCTGCCCTGACTCCTCCCTACCCTGGTCACCCTGTCCATCCTTCATCTCAGCAAAGCCACAGAAGCCCCTAATCAACCCCTGCTGCTCCTTGGAACTGCCCCCACTCCCACCACCACCTCTCTCTGGGGTCCCCTGACACCCCAAGGGTCCAGTTGGTACTGTATTCAAGGCAAGATTTACAGGTGACTCCCTCTCTGAAGATTCCAGAGGCCTTGGGCAGCCACCCTTCCCTCCTCAAATCCAGTGTGGTCCACGTCCATGGGGGTTGATCACTTACTCATTCACTGTGTGTTAGTCACTCAGACGTGTCCGATGCTTTGTGACCCCAGGGACTGTAGCCTGCTAGGCTCCTCTGTCCACAGGATTCTCAAGGTAGGAATACTGGAGTGGGTTGCCATTCCCTTCTCCAGCAATCTTCCTGACCCAGGGATTCAACCCAGGTCTCCTGCATGCAGCAAATTATTTACTGCAGAACCACCACTCATTCACTTATTCATTCCTTTATTCGTTCATTCATTCAACAAACATTCCCTGAGTACCTACTACATGCTGGATGCTGGGGAGAGAATGGAGGGAAAGTCAGACAAGCTGCCTCTGAGGAAACTCACATGGGGGAGAGGAGCAGACTCTGCAATGTTTTTACACACTCTCATGAAATTTCACTGTGATAACACAGTTGAGAAGGACTGGGCCAGGCTCCTTCAGACTCATGTGACCAGGCCTTTCTGAGATCTGGGCTCAAGTAGGAGCTGATTATTTGAGGATCTGGGGAGGGTCTTCCAGGCAGAGGAAAAAACCATTGCAAAGGCAAAACACACCTGTGTGTCTGGTGTGCTGGAAAAAAAGCAAAAAGGGTGACGCCGAGTGGGGAGAGGTCTATGGGAAGCCCCTCTTTCTGGCTGAGTGTAGAAGAGACTGCCGTAGAGCACAGGGGTATGGGGCGCAGGGAAGGAGGGAGACCTTGGATGGGGCTCAGAGGTCGTGGGAGCTCAGACCTGCAGGAGGAAGGAGTGGAGGGAAGAGAGAAGGGTCCAGAATAGGTTCTGGAGGTGGAACCAGCTGATTGACAGATGGCTTTGGATACTGGAGTTGAGTGAGGAGGAGGGGTTCAGGAAGACCCTGATTCTTGGGGCTCCTGCAAAGTGGTTAGTTGGGGAGCCTTTCTGTAGGAGGTGGGGACAGTGCAGGGTGCATGGCTAGAGGGGTAAAGGAAGGCACTGCTCTGCTCATATGCTCAGCCAGCCCTGCCACAGAAAGTGAGGGGGCAGTGCAGACCCCTCTGGTCTGACAGCCCTATCTCTGCCCCAGGACACCCCACTGCTGACCCTCAGGCAGAACCAGCAATGGATCTACCTGGAGAATCTCGCTCCAGGCATGGAATATGAGCTTCAGGTGCGGGCCAAGCCCCAGCTAGGCAGGCATGAGGTTTGGAGCCACTGGAGCCAGCCCCTGGCCTTCAGGATGGTCCCTGCAGGTACTGATGGGGAGCTGAGGTGGGGATGAAGCCTGGGCAGGGGGCAGAGACTGGGGGCAGCTGCTAGGGTGGCCTTGGAGTGTGGGTATGGTGCCCTTTGACCATCATTAACTCAGTGGATATGACCTGCAGGGTGGTAACGTGGGTGTGTTTGACAGAGGGGCTCAGAGAGGGGGTGGGACTTACCAGTGGGCTTGTGAGTTAGTGTGTGGCCAGTGAGATTCTTTCCACTCTCTCCACCCTGAAACCTCAAACTTTTGATTTCTTTTAGTTGCTCTGAGACATATGGGATCTTATAGGACCAGAGATCAAACCTGTGTCTCCTGAATTTGCAGGTGGATTCTTTACCTCTGAGCCACCAGGAAAGGCCATCCTTATGGAATTTACTTAACTACTGCATTGACTGTCTCTGCCCACCCACTGCTATTGTCTCCCCTGACCCCCACACCCACCAGACTGTAAGCTCTGTACTGTTATAGTCCAGGAACCTAGCTACATGGTACGTACTCAATAAAAATTTGTTGATTGAATGAGTACAAGTCTAGAATTTTGGAAGGTTAAGGGCATACCTAGAAGGTTTAGAAGGTATCTAGAAGGTCTTCCCTTCTTGGATCAGTCAAGCAAGGATCTGTTTTTCTTCTCTCTGCATATGTTTTGTTTGAACTGGCCTACTCTATGCATCTTATACTTATTATGACCACATTTTCTAAAGACAAAATTGCCTATATAGTCTGAAAAATCATTTTTCCCCCTGCATTGCTACTTTATTTAGATAAAACCTTGAAAGATTTAGAATCAGACGTAGTATTTACTGTTATCATTTGCTATTTGGACTGCTGTGAAAATTTAACCCAATGGTTATTGTACTGACACACTCCGTTTGTTGTTATTATTTGCATATTTGCCCTATTTACATACTACGAGATGCTTCTTTGAGTTAGACAGATTTCAAGTCCCATGCATTCTGTAACACCCACAGTGCCCAGCACGTGCTGGCAGTAGGTACTCTGATGTTAGATCAATAAATGGATGAACAGACCCTTTCTCAATCCAATGCCAAGACCTTCCTTCATTTCATTCTTCATCCTTGTCTCAGTCCATCCATCTATCCCTCCATCCTCCAGTGAAAAAGCTAACTTTAAATTCAATGTTCAAAAAATTTAAGATCATGGCATCCAGTCCCATCATTTCATGGTAAATAGAAGGGGAAAAAGTGGAAGAAGTGACAGATTTTATTTTCTTGGGTTCCAAAATCACTGTGGATAGTGACTGCAGCCATGAAATTAAGACACTTGGTTCTTGGAAGAAAAGATATCACAAACCTAGACAGTGTATTAAAAAGCAAAGACCACTTTGCCAACAAAGGTTCATATGGTCAAAACTATGGTTTTACCAGTGTTCATGTATGGATGTGAGAGTTGGACCATACAGAAGGCTTAGTGCCAAAGAATTGATGCTTTGAGACTGTGGTTCAGAAGAAGACTCTTGAGAGTTCCTTGGACCACAAGGAGATCAAAAAACCAGTCATCCTAAGGAAATCAACCCTCAATATTCATTGGAAGGACTGGTTCTGAAGATCCAATACTTTGGCCACCTGGTGCAAAGAGCTGACTCATTGGTAAGGACCCTGATGACGCTGGGAAAGATTGAGGGCAGGAGGAGAAGTGGGCAGCAGAGGATGTGAAGGTTGGATAGCATCACCGACTCAATGGACATGAATTTGAGCAAATTCCAGGAGACAGTGAAGGACAGGGAAGCTTGGTATGTTGCAGTCCATGGGGTTGCAAAGAGTTGGATATGACTTAGCGACTGAACAACCACCACATCCCTCATCCATCCATCCCTCTGAGAGAGCTGTTCTTAGGTAGGTTGATAAGGAGTCTGGGGCCCTCAAGGAGGAGAAAGGGACAAATGTTTCTACATTCCTTCATCTTAGTTACATAAGACTTTTTTTTTCTTAAACTCTGAGTTGTTATGGCAACAATCTATTTTGCCTAATACTAACTTTCTTTAAGCCCAGAGCTAATGATTACACAACAAAACAACTCATCTTGCTGAAGGGTATGTTTTTCCTTAAGCTCTGTACTAATGATTATATAACAACAATGTATCTTGCTCAAGAACATGTTTCTCTTTTTTAACAAGAACCTTCTGGCTAATCCTGTTATCCTAAAATGTATGTTATGGGAGTGGGTCTAGTAAGACTTTTAAAACCTTGAAACATTCTTTTAATAGTCAAAACTATGGTTTTACCAGTGTTCATGTATGGATGCGAGAGTTGGACCATAAAGAAGGCTTAGTGCCAAAGAATTGATGCTTTGAGACTGTGGTTCAGAAGAAGACTCTTAAGAGTTCCTTGAACCACAAGGAGATCAAAAAACCAGTCATCCTAAGGAAATCAACCCTCAATGTTCATTGGAAGGACTGGTGCTGAAGATCCAATACTTTGGCCACCTGGTGCAAAGAGCTGACTCATTGGTAAGGACCCTGATGACGCTGGGAAAGATTGAGGGCAGGAGAAGTGGGCAGCAGAGGATGAGAAGGTTGGATAGCATCACCGACTAGATGGACATGAATTTGAGCAAATTCCAGGAGACAGTGAAGGACAGGGAAGCTTGGTATGTTGCAGTCCATGGGGTTGCAAAGAGTTGGATGTGACTTAGCGACTGAACAACCACCACATCCCTCATCCATCCATCCCTCTGAGAGAGCGGTTCTTAGGTAGGTTGATAAGGAGTCTGGGGCCCTCAAGGAGGAGAAAGGGACAAATGTTTCTTTCTACATTCCTTCATCTTAGTTACATAAGACTTTTTTTTTCTTAAACTCTGAGTTGTTATGGCAACAATCTATTTTGCCTAATCCTAACTTTCTTTAAGCCCAGAGCTAATGATTACACAACAAAACAACTCATCTTGCTGAAGGGTATGTTTTTCTTTAAGCTCTGTACTAATGATTATATAATAACAATGTATCTTGCTCAAGAACATGTTTCTCTTTTTTAACAAGAACCTTCTGGCTAATCCTGTTATCCTAAAATGTATGTTATGGGAGTGGGTCTAGTAAGACTTTTAAAACCTTGAAACATTCTTTTAATCTATTGTTAGTAACCAATTGATAAAGTATATAAAGCCCCATCCCAACTAGTGAGTGGGGCACTGCCTGCCTCCTTCTGATGTCTATGTCAGAAGCTTTCTCTATCTCTTTTTCACTGTAATGAAACTTTTGCAAAGCTCTGAGTGACTGAAGCCATGTCTTTGGTCCTGAAGCAAAATCCTCTCCTTTGGAGATCACGAATCCGAGACTGCTCATTGTAAACTATCACCTCCATCCATCAGTTCTTTCAACAACTACAATCTGAGCACCTTCTCTGAGTCACAAAGGGCTTTAGTTGCCAGAGAACCCATGGGACTCCATGGACTCGACCTGTGATCTTGAGGAGCCACAGTCCAGCCAGGAGGACAGATCCCAAGCAAATCCTTCCCCAATGTCCAGTCAATTACAAGTGAGAGTGGGTGCTCTGGGGAGACAGGTGGGTGCCAGGACTTAGCAGGCACATGTCGGCTTTAGATGGGGTGAGGCTGGTCTGGGAAGACTGTAGTAGGAGCTCAGAGGGAGCATGATGAGGGTCCGGCAGGTTTGAGCTTAGAGCCCTCCAGGGGCTGACAGGGAGGCAGGGGCAGGGGCAGCAGGGCTGAGCCTTGCAGGGTGAGCAGGTGAGGCTGTATCATAAGTGCAGCAGGAAGCCTTTGTTGGGCGGCAGGTAGTTCAAGGACAGGATGTTATCTGATTTTCATTCTAAGAGGACAGCAGCTGAGGCTAAAGGCTTGGCAGTGGTACTTGGGGGACGGAATAATGGCCAGATGAGCAGAACAAGGGAGATGGAGGGCTGAGGAGGTGGGTCAGAGCGAGAGCTTCAGGACTGTGAGTCCCTGGGTAGTTAGGGTTGGAGGTGGGGGTGTTTGGGAAAGAGATACAGGAGGAGCAGAGGGCTGGGGCCTGGGGCTGTCTCAGGAACCCATTTCTGATCTGTACCAACTAGAGGAAGGGGAGGAATCCGTTGAGTTAAGCTTCCTTCTCTGTATCTGGAGGTTAAGTGGGATGAAGGGTTCTGGGGGGCTGGAGGGCAGGGTTTAAGCCTCCACCCTGCTGTGTGACCTAAGGCTGACACCTGCCCCTCTCTGGGCCCGGGCTCATCATCTCTACAGGGAGAGGACAGACCTGAGAGTCTCCAAGAGCCCTTGTGGGTCATTCTCTTGGCTGTCTCTTTCCTGGTTCCCCTCATGCTGCCTGCCTGGAATTGACGGGTCCTGCTTGCTTCCCCATCTTGTCCTGTGGGCACCTGGAGCTCCCAAGGAGGAAGAGGCCACTGTCCACTTCGGGCCGCNAGTCCCTTAACTCAAATGTTCTAAAGCAATTACTGAGTGCCCTTTGTGTGCAAAGTACTGAGGCAAGCATGGAGGAGGTGGCAGTGAGGGGAAGGAGGGAAGGAATCTCGTGTGGGTGCTCAGAACTCAACTCTAGGGTCGATGAGCTGAGCTCAGATCCGGATTACGAGGGAGCCCTGGGTGTCCTCCTATCTAGTGGTAGACATGGTAGAGGGAGGTCCCGTGGCTGCAGTGGGCGTTAAACGGCGTTGTAGGTGGACCGCATGTCAGTGTCGCTCCAGCCCAGGACGAGCAGGCTGTGTTTACGACACGCGCATGCTCAGTGACTTCAGGAAAGACCACCTGGGGGGCACCCCATCTAGAAGGTCTCCCTGCTGTGTGCGAGGACGCGCCAGCCTCAGGGTTCTTCCAAGCCGGGTGGAGTCCAGATGCTAAGGGCCCCTTTCCTGTGCTGGCCAATACTCTGGAAGGGTGTCCCACAGAGCCAGGACTTCAAGGCTCTAGGGTTGGGGGCCTGTCTGGTACAGCAGATGTCTTGGGCATTTAGGCATCTCTTACTCCCCGGGTAGCAGCAGGATCAGCTGGATCTGTGTAGCTCAGGTGTGCTTGAAGGACATCTACCTGTACCCAGTTGTGCTGGCTAGAAAGAACACATCTGTGGGCACATCAGAGATGGCCTGGGCTTCATGCTATAGGAAGGAGTGGTCTCCTCATCACAGAGGGGCATTCAAGGGAGTCTGGGCACTCTGGGTGAGATGCTGTGGAGGGGAGCTGGGCATCAGTTGAGGGTTGGATGGGAGAGATGCTTTAAGCTGAGCTCCATGCACCTGCTTCAGCCACGCAGGCCGCTTTACACCTGTATCTATGCCCCACTCTGCCCCTTCACTCAAGCTGACGCTTGTCCTGTGTTAGGCATTTCAGCCTTCAAGGTCTGGCTCTAAGCTTCTTCCTCCCTGCGTGGATGCCTTGAAGAGGCAGCCACACAGGGAGTGTCTGAACACCTCCAGATAAAGTTATATTCACACATGTGAACATTCCTGTTTTCTGTCTCTTCTATTAGGCCCTGGACTCCCTGAGGCAGACTTGAATCCTGAGCATCTTTTGTAAGTGTCGTAACTCCCAGGATGACACATGCTTGACGAATGGTCCGTGCAATTGGTGGGTGTTCTTACCTTCTGTGCCTGAGAAAACCATGATTCAGACTCTCCCTAGACAGGTGGGGGCAGGGGTGCAGAAAAATAGTGGGAAGGCTGGAGTGGCTTCTGGAAGGTAGGGCAGCACAGATAAAACAGGCACTGAATGGCCAGCAGTGACTGGAACCCCCGTGGTCCTCTCATTCTGAAGGCAGTGGCCTCCCAGCAGTGAGGAGTGTGTCCTCTGGAGCCAGATTGCCTGGGTTCAAATCCCAGCCCTGGCACTAACTCCTCTGTGTGGCCATGGGCAAGCTATTTAACCTGTGCCTTAGTTTCCTCATCTGTAAAAGAGGGTCATAAGAATACCTACCTGAAAGTGTTAGCTCAGTTGTGTCTGACTTTTTGTAGCTACTGTCTGAGGTTGGCCATTCTGAACCTTCTTGGTGGTCTGTGCTCGGCGCGCTGAGGAGGGACAGGTGTTGGTGGGCAGGTGTCAGGACAGAGCTGAGCAGAGAGACACAGGAAGAGGGCCTGGCGGCAGAAGCAGCTCACCAGGTCCGCTCACTCGAGTGTCCGGGCTCACCCTGGTGTGCGCTTCACAGTCTTAACCGCACACCTCGCAGCTTCCCCTGCCCCCTCCGCTCCTGCCGCCCCCTGCTTCCTGCGGGAAGGGCACAGGTGACTTCAGCCAGGGGCCAGCAGCGTTCTGGCTGGAACCGCAGGCCCGAAGCCCCCGGCCACATCCTCTCGATGGAAGTGCCCCTCGGTTCCTTCCTTGCTCTGCCCAGGCCCCCCAACCCTGCCCGGTGTTCTGGTGCACTGGCCAGGCCTGGCGGGTCCCTGAGTCCTGGCTTGGACAGTGGTGGTGAGGCTGGGGTTCCTGGGTGCTTCTGAAGAGGTGGAGGTTGGGGGGTGGGAGAGTGAGGAGGTTGTAGACAGAGAACTCTGTATTGGGGGCCTGGACGGCTGAGCATCTGACTCAGCTCTGCCTTCGAGACCTGCCCCTCCCTAGGCGCCCTCATCCCACAGTCTTTGTTTTCTACCTAACAGGGTGTTTCCAGAGGGTGCCATGTGGTGACCCATGAAAAGTGGGTATACAAATCACCTTCCTCAGTCAGGAGCAGGTGAAGGCCTCCTGGCAGGTACAGACGGTTGCTGACTGAGTTCCAGTTTAGGTTATTTCCCGGCTCCAGGCCCCGAGGAATGAGCTAGTCACAGAGTTCCTCCGGCCTTGCCCTGAGAAAGCGTGATGCAGCCTGGGGCCCTTCATCTTTTGCTGCTTTCAGGTTAGCTCATGAGCTCCCTGGGGCCCGCGAGATCAAGGTCACTGGTTTAAGCCCCATGTGGGGGAGGAGGTAAGCGTCCCTCCTTCCCACTCAGGCAGCTGCCCTGACCTTGCCTTGTTCTCTCTTATAGGGAGGCTTCAGGGTGGGTGTGCAATGCACCCTCATGCCCGGAGTCCCCTCTGAGGGCTGAGAAGAACCTCTCCCACAACCCCGTGGCTTCCCCCTCACCCCTCTGCACCCCATCCCAGCAGGGAAGCAAGGTGCCTGGTTCGGATTCCTCCAATCAGAGGATGCCTTTCCTGGAAGAATTCGTCTGACCTGATCCTGTCCTTGTAGGGCTGGGAGGCTGGGCCCAAAGAGGAGTGGTCTGACCCTTTTGGTTCTTGCTTATTCAGCATCATCTGGCCCCCTGTTTCTGGTAACATCACTCATTTCTCTTTAGAGATTAACTTTCTGCATTAGACAGCTTGGTCAAGCTGTCAAAGTACCCCATCCAACCTCTCCAGCCAAGGGGTGGCCATTTGACCTCATCATAGCCAATGGTACTCTTTGAAGAGGAGTGGAATGAAGCCAGGAAACAGCTGGAGTTTGGTGCCTCGAAGGCATCTTTGCAGCCAGGTCCCTGCAGCTGGTCTGGAATCTGCTCCCCTGAGGTCTTGGTCTTCGGAACCACTCCAGATCCTTTCATTTCTATGTCTCCTGAGTTAGCCACAGCCTGTTCCTGTGGTCCGCAGCCCCAGAATGGTGATTACCGCAGGGGAGAACATGTGACTCAGGGGTTGGGGGCACTGCTGGGACTCAAACCCAGGTCCCTAGATTCCCAGCCTGTGTCCCCTGCAAGGTGCCCTGGCCTGGGAGGAGGGACAGGACTGAAATGAAGTAGAATCGCAAAGAAGATAAATGTGTTCTCAGCTCCAGCCCGGTGTTGGGTGGGGGTGTTGGTGGTTTGACTGCTGGGCAGAGTGTGAGGAGGCGCGTGAAGGTGGGAAGGGGTCAGCCAGTGCTTGAGGCTCCCTGCCACCCTCACACACACCCTGGCCCCTGCCCAGAACCCCTGGCATGTGGTAGAAACTCCCTCCGGGTAGGGATGAGGGGGTGCAGACCTTCCCCAGGGAAGGAGGAATTGGGAAGCAGAGCATGCGCTGATCTGGTTCAGACAAGTCAGGGTGGGTCTGTGACTCTGTGCAGTGGGAGGACTCACAACGGGCTGAGTCTAACTCACCCTGAAAGCGAAACCAGCCACCCACCAAACATGGGGGCCTCCGGCAGGCTGTCTCTTTATTAACCAGCACCCAACGTGGAAACCAGTCAGCGAGAGAGATTCATTGTCAGCCAGCCCACTGAGTGTGCATGGGCCTCCCAGGCATTCAATCATGGAATCGGCTAGGAGGACATCCAGCTGTGACTGCCTCTTTAGAGTCACCTACAACTGGAGAACACAAGGCGGGTTTTTGTCTTATCCTCCTCTGTTTTGCCCTCAAGAGCTAGTGCTCACGCCTGGCCATCAGATCTGCATGACAACACAGATTTTATTCCAAGGGCCCCAGCAGAGAGAAAACCCCACACAGACACACTCCTCGTGTGCCCTCTCACTTGGTTTCCACTTTGCCATCACCCTAGCTGGTCAGCTCTACATGAAGAGTGGCATGATGCGTGTGTGTGTGTGTGTGTGTGTGTGTGTGTGTTAGTCCCTCAGTGGTGTCCAACTCTTTGCAACCCCATGGACTGTAACCCACCAGGTTCCTCTGTCCATGAAATTTCCCAGGTTAAAATACTGGAGTAGGTTACCATTCTCTTCTCCAGGGGATCTTCCCAACCCAGGGATCAAACCTGGGTCTCCTGCATTGCAGGCGGATTCTTTACTGTCTGAGACCCCAAGTCCCAGGATGGGGTGGGGGGCTAGTAATTAAAGATGATTTCGAGTCTTAATCTGCATGCTAAGTGACTGCTCACCCTGTCTGGCTTCAAAGCACCTGTGTCAGTCAGGAATCTCAAATGCAAACCAAAGAGCCCCACCTGGCCACTTTCATTAGAAAAGCATTTGGTTCAAGATCTTCTGCAGCTCAAGAATCTATAAACCAGGCTTGGAGGGGTACAGTTTCTGAAATGCTCTAATGTCACCCTTACCAGCCTCCTGAAATTCTCTGCCTCCTAACCCGCATCCCTGGCTCCCATCCCGAGGGAGGTCTGCAGCAGACATTCCTGAATGGGTGAGCCTGATCATGTGCTCACTAACCCCGCTGCAAGGGAGACTGCAAAAGTAAAGCTTGAGCTTGTTACTTGGGACCCAGGGCTCCTAAAGAGGTAAACACCACAAACACAGGAAAGGTTTGCAAAGCTGCAGTGTGACCACGATGAAAAATAAATATCCGGCCAGCACCTAAGAAGAAACATCCCCAACAGAGGGTCCTTGTCAGCCCTCAGCCCCACCCCTGCCTCCTAAAGTTGGCTTCCTCACACCTCGTGGCCGGCAGCGTGTTCTCTCTGGGGCAGGCTTGGTGGTGGGTGTCTTGCTGTGGGTTGAAGTTAGAATAAATGACCGTTATTTTAAGTGAGAGAATTTCACATTAAAAAAAAAAAGCAATCCTCAATTTTCTGCTTTTTATGAAAATTGAACATTTCCTGGCAGTACTGAGCCATCGTTCCCATCTGCCATCTCCCACAGCAATGGAGACCCTAGTTTGTCATGGTCCCCTCCTGCCAGCCTCAAGCGTGGGTCCCTGTCTGGCCCCTGTGGCATCTGAGTTGGGGTCCCCTACCCAAACCCACAGCGAGGGAGAGACGAGGCCACCTCCCTCACCCAAAGAAAAGCCTTTGTTGTTGGGAGGCCAAAGGGGTCAGATGTATTTTAGTGAATTGCCGGTTGTCCGAAAACTCTCCTTGGTCCCTGATATCTCTGCAGTCCAGCTGGGGTGGCCCTCGAGTGAACCTGAGGGAGTAACCTGAGAAACAATGTCAAGAGAAGCCTGTTTTAAACTTGGTGGAGCCGCTGTAGAAGCACACAGCTGGGAAAGCTTCGAGCTGCCGCTGTGGGGGAATAATGACAGGGCTTCCCCCCATCAGCATGCTTCCCAGAGTGCCACCCAAAGGGGCCCTTCTCCATGAATCCTCGATGCTGGCCCAACACCTTTCGAGGCTTTGCACTTGCCCAGAGCTCCCGCTCATCCGGCTCAGTTCAGCCCGTTTGTTCTGCAGGAGACTCAAGATCTTTTCTATACCCTCATCGTGGTTGTTTTGGAACCTGCCAAAATATGGCTGCCTCTCTTCTCTCAGTCCCACCTTATTTAGATCCTTGAGGTGGCAATGAGACCCACATGCCAGGACGCCAAGAATCAAGGGCCAGGGGAAGGTTTCACAGTCTCTCTGTATGATCCTGGGCCAGGTGGTAGCCAGATCTGCCTCACCTTGCCCCTGCCTACAGCCTGAAGCAGGCATCTTCACTGTTCAGAGGAGTTCAGGGTTCCCGTTCTCTGGGTGGAGGCAGCCATCTAGGGTTCCCAGCCCTGTGGCCAGGCTTGACTAAGGCCATAATTCCAGAGCTGGGTGAGCTTCTTACCCTGTTTACTGCTTTCCTCCAAGCAGACACTGTAACAGTATTGACAGCTGGGGACAATCTAAGCAAAGGGACATTTAAATGTTTTGCCATTCCTTAATAAAAACACCCAGAAAAGAAAAGCAAGCAAGCATACCTCTAGATAGAGAGGAACTTCTCACAGACACTTTGCAAACATCACACGTCCTCTTTCCTCGCTGCAACACCTAGATTGTCTTCTGAGAAAGATCACAGATCTTGGTGAAACCTACTTAAGAATAAGAACTAGTGAAAAGATATTTTTTCTACCTGTTTCTCACGGGAAAGTGGGGGGGAAACATTACAGGAGCTGTCAAAGGGCCCTCAGAGCTTTCCCAACTGTCCCCATAGCAGGACTCTGGCCTGGCAGTCAGGAGACCGGGTTGAGGAGTTGGTGGACTGTGGACAAAACTCTTCCTTTCCTAAGCACCATCAGCACAGCGAGGTGACCCCCACTCTGGGGCACCCCAGCCTCCCTCTGCAGAGGTTGGAATTAAGCAGGAGCAGGTCTGGTGTCTGGTGACCCTTGAGGAGAACCCCAGCCCCAAACAAGGGTCCCATGCTTTTACAGTTTAATTCTGATTCCTATTTTATTTATTTTCTTAAATAGATATTTTGTTCCCATGAAACAAAGCTCAAAAGGTACCAAAGGTTATTCAGGAAATATCCCCCACCCTCCACGGCTTCCTGGGTCTCCCAGCTCCCTCCCTGAGGTCAATCCAGTCCCTAAGAATTCGTTCTAGAACAACCCAGTGCCTGTACCTGCCAGGACACAGACACACACACACAATACACACTCACTTGCACGCACATCTCACAAATGCACAAGCACACACCCCACTCCCCCTCACACACGCACGCCCTCTCACACACAGACAGGCTCATCCTGCACCCATCAGGCACTCACACCTTCCCACCCCCACACACTCACACACACCCTGGCACATGTCCTCTCACAGTCACATGCTCATGCAGTTACACCCTTCCACTGCACACTCTGAACTGAACTTGGCTTGTTTGCACCCACTGGCACATCCTGGGGATTGTTCCACATCAGGATTAGACAACTGTCCCTTCTTTTTTTTTTTTAAAAAAAAGAATTTTATTTATTTGTTTTTGGCTGTGCTGGGTCCTTGTTGCTGCATGGGCTTTTCTCGAGTTGTGCTGCGTAGGTTTCTCACTGCAGTGATTTCTCTTGTTAAGGAGCACAGGCTTCAGTAGTTGTGGCTCCTGGGCTCTGGAGCATAGGCTTGATAGCAGTGGCACACGGGCTTAGTTGCTCTGCAGCAGGTGGGATCTGCCCAGAACGGGGATTGACTCTGTTCACTGGCACGTGGACTCTTTACCACCGAGCCGCCAGGGAAACCCTGGCAAACCTTTTGAAGCTTCAAATATTGATATTCTCTGTGTTGTTTCTAATTTGCCATTTCTGGCTCCTTTAGGGCATTAGAGATTTGGAAACCTCAGTTCTTTTCCTTTTCCTTTCTTTCCTTCCTTCCCTGCAGCTTGACACCTCTGTGTGTCAGGTCATTTTCGAGCCTCTGGGACAATCTGGTTGAATCAAACATGATCCCTGTTCTCAGGCAACTCCTAGTGTAGACACCTGAACAGACAGTCATGACCCGAAATAAGCAAGTGATGTGTGTCTCAGATCCGATCAGGCTGGGGTGGGGGTTCCAGGAAGAATTGGTTTGAAATCAGCCAGTTGAGTTAGTCTGGAAGAGTGGGCTGGCAATGGGGTGACCA